GCAGCAGAACACCTGCCTAGCTTGTGTGAGGCCCAGGATTCAATCATTAGCACAAAAGTTACAAGGTTTATAAAAAACGAGGATGATGATGATATTCCAGGATAACATCCAGTTTTGCCTTCTTTATTTAGACCATGAAACACTAGCTTATCCAAAGTATAAAGAGTTATCGATGAATGAGTCACTCCCAGGGAAAAAGGGAAGTTTTGGGCTATGGATACACCACAGTTGGTAGAGTCCTTACCTACTCTGAACCAGGTCCTGGGTTCATTCCCCAGCAATGAATAAATCCAGTGTGGTGATGAAAACCTGTAATCACAGAACTTGGATGTTGGATGCAGGAGGATCAAGAGTTGAGGTCATCCCCGACTACATATCAAGTTTGAGGCCAGCCTAGGGTATGTAAGACGATGTAACAAAACCCAGAAAGAAAAATCCCTGTGTCTACCTGGGCAGGTCTTTGCTCAATGTTATGGAGAATGTTGAATTTCACTTGCTTCCCTGAATTGACTCCTGGTAGAGAGGTCCATTCACAATATTCCTTCCAGGTAGATGGCTGGCATAAAGGGTCACCCTTCACCATGTAGGTTGGGGTAAGGCTGTGTGAATAAGAAAGAATCCTAGAAAGAAGCTCTGTCCACTAAAGCTGATTGACTGAGAAAAAAATTCAACGACTGTGGAGAGTTTGGGTGAACATTTTTCTTGTGCTATCTTTAGCCCCTTAAGAGATATTCCTGGTCCACCTCTCTGTTGGACCTAGCTAGCATCCCTATAAACAGATAAAAACCTTCAGAATGTATTAGCCCTTTCTCCCCCAGTCAAGGGGCTGAGAATGCTATCACATAGAATCTGAGGTCTGTGGCTGGTGTTCTTCTACCTAAAACATGCCTCTCTGATGTTTCTATCAATGTATTATAAACATGCCTTCATACACAACTTTGTTGTGACTGTAAGAACTTGACGAAGCTGCTTACACGTTGGAACACCGACCTTGGAGCAGCCTAAATGCATGTTCCGGGACCATGGTCACTTCCATTTGGCTCCAGAACGATCTTTGAGGTGTTTTTCAGTTGAGCCTTGATATGCACTCTCTGTCATGATCTGCAATACTCCTGGATGACAGACCCTCCTACTCCTATGCTTTTTTCTCACGGATAATCCACTCGGGTGGGAAGCTTGTTCTAAACTATCTAGGCATAGAGATAAAAAAAAGTTCCCTGCACAGCGGGCTGTGAGTTCCCCTGATTCCACTGCCACCCCATGAACTGAGAAGCAAGCAGCAAATTCACCCAAACACTTGATCCCCACATCTGGCAGCCTTGGTGCAACTCCTTTACTTGGTTGGTTTTCATTTTCCCATGCGCTCGTGCCCTCACACAAAGACGACAAGTAACTCAAAGAGCAGAGACTCATCTTCCCCCGCACTCTGTGGCCCCCAGCTGATCTGCACATCCTGGCAGGCAGCCTGCCAAGGCCTCTCTTGGACTCCAGGGAGCCCCCGTGTGATGTCACCTCCGCTAACCGCGATCTCTCCTCTCCCCACTGTGGGGAGGTCTGGGGGCTGCTGCTGCGTGCTGTCCTGTCGGGACAGCAGCCTCGAGAGAGACCACAGGTCCTGAGCTGGACAGTGCGGGCCGCGACGCCCTATGCCACCACTCCTGGGGAGAAAATCGCTGCCGCCCCCCACCCTGAGATTCGGGCCTCAGCAGAGGCAGCTAAGGGAGATAGATCCCTTTTCTCTAAAGTCCTCCTCCCCTGGGAGCCACCAGCCTGGCGGGCCGCAGTCCCTGCCTGCAGCACCAAGGCCTCTCTAGCTTCTGGAGGACCGCTCCTCTTGGTGGTCTTAACCCTTGGTGTCTGAGAGCCAAGCTGCGTTTCCAGGGTTGAGCAAAGGAAGTGGTACCCTGGCGGCCAGACTGCAGGACCTGATTCACTGACGAAACACCCGTGAGAAAGCCAGAGAGACAGAGGGAGAATGAGAGTGAGAGAGTGAAGGCTTTGAGGGAGGTTCAGAAAGAGAGCATGAGGGGTCTGAGGAGATGGGGGTGGGGGAGACCTGGAAGCAACAGGCAGAAGAGGGAATTGGGGAGTGGGGGTGGGGAGGGGGAGAAGAGAAGGGAGGCTCCCTGGGATGGGCCAAGGGAAAGCAAAACCCAGAGAGAAGCTCCTAGAACGGGGGGTGGGGGGTGGGGGCTGGTGCGCATGTGGGTCTAGACCAGGATCCCTCCTTGGCGAGCCTGAATGGTGCTTTCTGAGAGGCATCCTTGTTTTTCTCAGAAGGGCCATCTCTTCAGTGTCAGAATCATGGTTGGGCTATCTCTGTGTGATGTGTTTGTCTTTCTCTACCTGGGGATTGCGATTTTACAGGGAGAAGGGACCCAAGTTTCCTGTAGTTAGCACTAGGCATCCGGGGTGTCACTGGGCTCGAGTCTGTTCAAGCTCACAGATGACTTGTCTCCTTGGCATTGCCAGCCGCCCACCCCATCTGCCACCCTACAGTGTGAGACAGAGTCCCTGAAGAGTTACTGTTTTCAAAGGAGACATTTGCCCGATAGAAACGTCAGAGAAATTCTTCTTGAGATTCCTCACAAAGATAAGGATCAGGATGTGACTTAGAAATAGAACTTAGAGAAATTAAGCTCAGTGATTCCTGTATCAGCAGCAAGCACTTGGACAGTTTTCCTCAGATGCAGGCTGCAGCAGAAGATACTGAGAGAGAAGGCCTGCATGGTTGTCCTGCTTGCTGGAGGACAGCTGATTCTGGGCAGTAGACCTCGGTGGGATGGGAAATTGGCTGTTAGGATTGATCACAGGTTTCCTTTTGCCTTTCCAATATGGTTTCTCTGGAGTGACTCATGTTGTTGGCGGTGTATTGATGTGTGCGTTGACCTCTGTGTGGGTGCTGTTTTGTTAGCCTTGTCTGAAAAGATCAAGTGGGGATCCTTGTGTGGCTGAGCCTCACAAGCAATAGAGAAGAAGGGTTTCTGTATTTTAAGGGGAACAGTTTCAACAGCTCTCTGTCAAAGAGGCGGTGTCTTCACCTAGACCACCTTGGCATCTAAGACAATGTTTTGTTAATAGCTTTTGTGAGGAAACAGTGGCTTTATTCTTGTCAGTTACTGTGAAAATTGTACATGGGATTGAATGTGATAGCTAAGTTAAGACCATGGCCGCAGCCCATGCTCTTTACTCAGCATGAGGGTGGAAAGGAAACCCGCCATATTAGTTGGCATGGGCATCCAATTGTGTATTGCGAGGAATAGTTGCCTTGTCAAGTGATAGTCCTGGGCTGAAACATAATCTGTGTCCAACATTTACCAGATGGTGAGAAATTAAAGGGAGGGAGATCTCTGCTTAGTAGAAGATGGTGGATGCAAGTTCAAGCCAGTAGGTGGCAGTCGTGAGAGAATAGATTACTGTGGCTGCTAGTAAAGACAGCCTGAAAAGAAGGGGTCACCATCAAAAACTAGCTGGGTCACCATCAGTGAGTGGCTGAGCCTTTATGATCACCAGCTACCTGATCTGCAGGGGGGATAACAGCACTGTTTGAACACCACTAATCTGAGCCTGCCAAATCGAAATGCTCCAAATCCTGAAAATTTCCTAGCACCTGATGAAACCACAGAGAGAAATTCCACATCTCACCTACTCCTGGCAGCCTGTTACAATACAAGTCAAGGTGGAGACCTGCTTCAGAGGTGGGGTATGTACTTTCTATGCCTGGGACCCTGTGTTCAATCTGAGCATGCACACAGACAAACAGTAAGACACACACACACACACACACACACACACACACACACACACACACACACACATACACACATACACACACACAGGGAAGTATTAAAAATACATGAAATATATCAGTATAATACTGTATAAAATCACCTGTAGGTTGTATGTATAGTGTGTATATGAAATGTAAATGAATTCTGGGTGTCATGTCCCCAGGATATTTCATTATGTCCATGCATATATCATCTACTCAAAAAGAAATCACAATGTCAGGTAAGGGCTACTGAGCCTGTACAACGAAGTCCCATCACAGCCAGGCTAAGGCCTTCTTGATCATGTGGCTGCAGAGCCTCCTCTGGTTATCATTCCCCTCTGGCTGACACAATCACATGTTCTGTTGTCATTTTCACATCAGGTCCCTGCCCTGCAGTTAGGAGTCCTCTGAGCAATGTTATCTTTCAGGATATAGGTGTGAATGCAGGAAGTGTCAGAACTTAATTTCCTGTTCACCCAGAGAAGGCCTGTGCCTTTTACCCCTGTAGTATGCAGAGTCTAGTGGTATGTGACATCAGTGCAGTAGCCACACAGCCCTTTTTTGTTAGGTAGGTGGTATCCTGCCACTTGTTTCTGAATGGGAACTCATGTGTTCTGAATGGCGGTGGCAGATCGGATCTTGAATTCCTGTTCGTTCCGGGGAATGACAAGTACTGTGTCTTCTCTCCCCACTCTGTTCCCCAGGGTCTAGCTGCTGTGAAGACCCCATTTCCCCCTTTATTGTATGCTTCACAGCACTTTGCCTCGGGCCTTAGGATTGGGCTCCAGGGCGGTTATTGATGGAACCGTTGTGTCCCAGGGAAGACAGGTTAGGTGAATGCACTCTGGCCAGTTTGGTCTTGTCTTGTAGGGGACATGTAGGTGTCACACAGGCCATGGTGTGGCAGAATCTATGCTGCAGACCCAGAGATCAGTGACTGTGGTGACCAGGAGGGCTTGTCACTGCTGAGAAATGACTGTCTTCTTCCTGTTGCTCTGCCCCTCTCCTTTGCCCTTCCCTGGGCCCGTCCGTTCAACTTCCGGTGAAGCTCCATATCTCATGTATGTGTCTTTTAGTTCCACATGGCAGGAGCTCCCAAAGCTAACGACTGTGATTCGTGGTCCTCATCGAATCTTCTTTCACACTCACAGATGGACATTACTTGGCGTTTAGTGACTTTGATGTTCTTTTCTAGGGACTGCTAAGAAGAGTGTCTCTTCTTTTCTAGGCCTGGTGAGATTGGATACATCGCTGTAGGCACCAGAAATAGAGAAGTCCCGAGAGCCAGGGCCTGGACAAACTCACCTCTCTGTGAGGTGCTCCTTGGCTGGAATTCAGGCTCCTCCCCCGCTGCCCTTGCACGTGGTAGGTGGCCACTCTTTGGCACCCATTGCCTTGTACAGATGTGACATATTGCCATTCTTGGCACAAATGTCCTCATGTTGTCTAAACAAAATGATGAAATGAACTCTTTTCCTCTCAACTGAAATAAATTCATTTCCTAAGTATATTTTATTGCAGACAGAAAGGTGGGAAAGATAACATTTTAATTTTCAAAGTGAATTCGCTTCTGTTTGTAGTATTCATCACCTCCACATAGGAAGCATTGGCGTGTTTAGCTACTTGTTATTCCTGGTCCACACTGTGGTGTAAGTCAAGGAGAGAAGGAGCCTGGCCAGGTTGGTTTGGGCTGCATAGACTGTCAAGGTTTGTTTGACAGTCCACCAGATATTGAGAGCACAGCATGGTCTGATGCAGGATGGTACGTATTTGCTACATCAGTTTCCAGATCTGGGCACCCAGCCTAGCCTCCAGGCCTGTCCATCTGAATTCTGGACCTCAAGATTACTTTCTAACTCAGGCTTCTGAGGAGGCTGAGAATCCAGAGAGGTATTGCTCCACTACCAAAGGCAGAGGCATCTGGAGTCAAGCAGTCTCAGGCTGGATTTACATTCCATGTGGTCATGTGATCTTAGGGACATTACCCAGGCTCACGGTGTTGGGACTGTCTTCCATTACAGTGCAGGAAAATACGGATTCTGCAAGGCAGAAATACTGATATGTTTATGAAAAGGCTTCGAGTTCTCCATACTTCTTATGATCGATACTAATGTACATCTACTAGGGCCTAGGCTCAGTGAAGGATGACCAGAGAAACACAATGACTGGTCACTTGGCTCCCAGGCTAGTGATTGACATACAGATAACCATCCCTTGACAGCTGAACGGGCTTGGGGCTTGGGGAGGAAAATACAGGGTGCTGTGGGAACCTTAGGAAGGTCCCCAGTCCAGATGGTTTGAAGGAAACCAGAGAATGCCTTTTGGAAGAAGTCCTGTCTAAGCTGAACCCTAAAGGGTGGATTCGAGGGGAAAATCTTGCTTAGAGGCCCCATTGCCAAACGTTTCATCGAAGACTGCCTAGTCATCTATCCACTGGTTCCCAGGTGGCAAAGGAATGGGGAAGTAATGCCCAGTTGACCAACATGAGTGGAAAAGATTATCTATCTGCTATATCTTTTTTTTTTTTTTTTTTTTTTTTTTTTTTTTTTTTTTTTTTTTGGTTTTTCGAGACAGGGTTTCTCTGTGTAGCTTTGCGCCTTTCCTGGAACTCGCTTTGGAGACCAGGCTGGCCTCGAACTCACAGAGATCCGCCTGGCTCTGCCTCCCGAGTGCTGGGATTAAAGGCGTGCGCCACCACCGCCCGGCTATCTGCTATATCTTGTAGCATGAATCTTAAAAGGTCTTATTAATAAAAACAAACCCAGGGCCAGGTATTGGGGTGAATACTGGAAGATCAGAGATGCAGAAAAGCCACAGCTTCCTCACCTCAACAGTTCCTCAGCTGATTCTGTTTCCTCAGACTGTAAGCCTCTGAGTCCTCATCCAGAATGAATCTCAGGTGAACTGCTGCTAAAAGCCTAAAAGCTTAACCAGGCTCTAGTTCCTGGTTTTCACGCCTTATATACCTTTCTGCTTCTTGCCATCACTTCCTGGGATTAAAGGCGTGTGTCACCATGACTGGCTGTTTCCAGTGTAGCTTTGAACTCACAGAGATCCAGAAGGATCTCTGCCTTTGGAATGCTAGGATTGAAGGTGTGTGTGCCACCATTTTCTGGCCTCTGTATCTAGTGGCTGTTCTGGTCTCTGAACCCAGATAAGTTTATTAGGATGCCCAATATATTAGGAAACACAATATCACCTCAATATCTGCTGGGGGCTTTGGGGGTATCTGCTCTCAGGAAAGATACAGGGATAGAAAGTGCTTTGCTAAACTAGGCTCATGCCATCTGTAGATTTCAGAAAACACTGGTGGTCCTTGATGGCATCAGTAGATCACAGATTGTACCTGACCTGCTCCCAACACCCCCTGCTTCCTCCTGAGCATTTGGTGAAGTAAGGAATCACTATTCTGATTAGTCCTTAGTGAGAAGGGGTTCTCTTTACTCATGACCATAAGCAGACTTTCTTCCACGGGGAGCATTGTGTTTGTTTGTGTGTCTATTTTTGAGAGGGCAATGTGGTATGGTAGTTCAGGACAGGAGCTCTATTCTTGACAAATTTCCTAATAGCCCAGATCTGCCATGTGCCTTTCTATGGTCCTGAGGTAATTACTGTCTTCACCTGTGAAATGAGTTTGATATTAAGAACCACAGTATCATTGGCTCTGAGGGCTCACTTGTGTAATCCAAACACTCACAAGGATGAGGCAGGAGGATTGACTTGAATTTGAGGATAGTCCGGGCTACAGAGGAACACCCTATCTCAGAAACTCAAGACTGGAGGAGGAGTAGAATCACAATAACCAAGTCAGAGGGTTCTCTTAGCAGATGGGTAATGTGAGGGGGAAAGAAAGTAGAAAAGGTCACATTTCCTGTTATTACTTCCACCCATGCTGCTGTGTGATGTTTGGGAGATGGACTTCCCACTCACTTCATGGTCCTCACTCAGCAGGGAACACAGGAGTTACCCTAGACTTCTCAGTTAGGTCAAGGGCTTTTCCTGCTCTGCCGTTTCTAAGCCTTTTATGGATGGTCCTTCATCAGAATGCTGGCTCTTCTACTGTGTGTTCCTCATCTATTAACCACACACATCCATCTTCGTTGGATGCATACTTCTAATTCAGTTTTAGTCCTGTCCTTGGGTCAGTTGGTGCTGTTTCTTGGTTTGGTGGATGCCATGGGACAGATGATAGCGAGTGAGACTTTGTTCGGATCCTTCATGTCACTGGAAGCTATCTGAGATGGGGTCCAGCTGTTTTATGCAAACCCATCTCCTTCAGCTTCATATTAAACAGGTTTCATTTGCACCAGATCCCAGGTCAGGCCCGGCCTCTGGTGTGTCTCTCCTTACTTTTCAAGTTTTCTATTTGTGAAATGACAATGATTCTACCAACTTTGGATTTTTCTGGGGAGACCATAGTGAAGGAAGGAGGTAAAGCACCTAGCACACATTTTGTGTTTTGAGGGAGGCACTATGTGTATGGAACCTGTCCTTTGTCCCATTTCATGTAGTCCACATCATTTGGCACTTGGCAGCACAATGGCTCAGCAAATGTTTTCAATTGGACTGCAGGAAGGTATGGTACATTGTGGCTGTTATCTGTGAAGATTCTCCAGAGAAACCAAACCAATAAGAGATCTATGATATGATCTATGATATGCATATCTCTATCTAGTGCTAGAGTCCTTCATCTCAAGACATTGGCTCCACTGCAATGTGAACTCTGGCAAGTGCAAATTCTGGAGGTCAAGTGGCTTGGTTGGATATTATTCATTTGGGAGTTGATGTTATAGTCGGTATGTAAAATAAGTGAAAAATGTGGTATTTAAATTAAAAAGAATTGATGCTGTAATTTTGAGCCTGAATTCAGCAGGCAGAATGGAATGCTCTAAAATCAGACAGAGTGTGTGTGTTGGGGTCAGGAGACTGAATTACCTCCACCCTGGGAGGGGCTTCATACTTTGCCTGACTTGATGAAGTCCAGTCACACAATGAAAGATACCATGTGTTACTTAAAGTCTAATAGTAGTAAAAGTTTCTCAGTCTGGAAATAGCTTCACAGAAGTACTTAGGCTAGTGTGTGATCAACCAGGCATCACAGCCTACCCACCGTGGCACATAACAATGACCACCACAGTGGGCAAACAGTACACTTCCAAACAGAAACTTTGACCAATAAACATTTTGGGTCTGTTCATGTCCAGTCATCGTGTCTTCCAATTCTTCATAAGCTATGTGAGATGATGATGGTTGTGGTGGTGATGATGATGATGGTGGCGATGGTGGTGGTGGTGATGGTGGTGATGGTGGTGGTGGTGGTGGTGATGGTGGTGATGGTGGTGGTGATGGTGGTGATGGTGGCGATGGTGGTGGTGGTGATGGTGGTGATGGTGGTGGTGGTGGTGGCAGTGGTGGTGATGGTGGTGGTGGTGGTGGTGGTGGCGGTGGTGGTGGAGGAGGAGGAGGAGGAGGAAACAGGAGGTTGCCTTAATTTGAGCTGAAGTTTGGTATAAGGTCTGTATCCCTCTGAGGTAAGAGACAGTTGATGAAGTAAGATGCAGGATGGGAAGTCGTATCTTTTCCTCTAGTTGCTCTCCACATCCTAAACAGGACATTTGTGGGCTTCCTTGTATTTAATACCTCTAGAGAGGTTCATGAGTAACTTCATGATCGTTGTGTGGTGGGCTATTGGACTGGAAATAGTTCCCAGATATAGGGAGCGAGGGGGAGAATGAAATATGATTAAAATGCTACCTTGTTGTGATTTGATGTTTCTGAAGTCTAGGCAATTTCTTGATTAAAAGGTATTTGTGAGACTTATTTTCTTCCTGTGAGAATTGGCTTTCTAAAGGAAGAAATATCCTGGGAGTGTCTCTGTGACTTGTGAAAACTGATCAGATCTGTGAATCTCAATTGGCAATTGATTCTCAATGGATAAGTCTCAATCTGAGGATCCTGCTCTACGTGCTTCACACCTAAGTATCTGTGTGGGGTGGTGATGGCCCTCGGGATATAACTACACGAGCCAGGGCTTTTGATGATGAAATCCTTAAGAGTCTCCCTTCCTAGGACATATGTTTTATTTTCTATGTGTAAAAAGTCAACTCACATGGCTTGCTATCTTTCTAATATTGTTCTGAGTTTCCTTTGGTTATAACACGTTCTAAGTATTCTATGTGTATTAAAGAAACTATTGACTTCTTGCTTTCCAAATTTGCTAAAATGACAGGTCCTGAGGTACCATTCTTACAATCAATTTAGCATTTAAAAAGGGAGAGCAAGGCAGGCAGGCAGAGACACAGAGAGAAGGGGCAGTTGTTTTGAGAATCCTCCAGTCCAGGTATACTGCAAGAATAAGATGAGGTACCCATTAAATATCTACCATTTGGAGGTATTAGTTAGCATTTGTTAAGACTGGCATTTTTCCTTTGAAGTCCAGATTTTAAATATTTTATTTTTAATTATGTGTATGCATGTCTGTTTGTATGTGGATTTGTGCATCATGCTTTTGGTTCAAGACTTGTTGATACCTCTTCTGTGGTCCTAAAGTCATTTTTGTTCAGTGTCTTCTGAAAAGCATATTATTATGTAATTGATGCTTACTTCTGAAACTCTTTGATTTACTGGGTGTATAAATTATGAGGCTGAGGTTTATATTTTTGCGTATGGGTATGCAGGGATTTCTGTTTGTTGAACAGATTCAACATTCTCTGATTCCCTTTGTGCTTTCTTGTCCAGACTCATTTGTAAGGGTGCATTTGTTGATTGTTTTCTTCTGTGCATTTACATGTCTATTCCTTTCCATGACAATCGTCTTGCTGATTGCTGGCTGGTTTTGTGTCAACTTGACACAAGCTAGAGTCATTTGGGAAGAACTAAGTCAACTGAGAAAAAGCTCCCAAGAGGTTGACCAGTGAGCAAGCCTCTGGTGGTTTTCTTAATTAGTGATTGATATGGGACGGCCTAGCCCATTGTGAGTGGTGCTCTCACTGGACAGGGGCCCCAGGGGTGTATAAGAAAGCAGGCTGAGCATTCCTTGGGGAGCAAGCCAGTGAGCAGCCTTCTCCCATGGCCTCTGCATCTGTTCCTGCTTGCAGGTTCCTGCCTTGAGTTCTTGCCCTGACTTCCCTCACTGATGGACTGTGATACAGAAATGTAAACTGACTTAAGCCATTTCCACCCCAAGGTGCTTTTGGTCATGGTGTTTCCATCACAGCCATGCCAAACCAAACCAAGACACCACCCTTAGAGTTAGGCTTAAAAGTGACTGATGTGATTTATGCAAATCATTCCTGTTTTTCAAAACTTGGAAATTCTAGGTGGAATGTAGGCTCAGCTTGTTTATGAACAACAGCAAAAAAAAAAAAAAAAAAAATCCTTCCAGGATTTTGATTGGCTTTGGATTAATTCAACTTGAAGAAAATCAACTTCCCATTTCCATGGCAAATCTTCCAACCCAGGCCTAGACTGTCTACGTTTAAGGAGGCCTTCTTTCATTAGCATTTTATCGTGGTCTGTATACTAGACTCTGGGTATATCTTGTTAGTTTTCTATGTGCCCACATTGTGTTTGTAGCTGTTATGTACACATTGTTTTTCAATTTAGTCTTGTACTGTTTATTTGGTAGCTTTTCATGTGTAGGCCTTACTCCTTTGTCTGTTTTGTGGAGTTTTCTCTCTGTGTATGACTTTGTGTGCACTGTGAGCATGCAGGAGCCTGGGCAGTCTCTTAATGTCTGAGCAGTCTCTCCAGCACGTTCCTTTTTCTTTTTTTCAGACAGGCAGCTGAGTAAGTATTAGCCTGGATAATCTCTTTTTGTGATCCTCCTGCCACAGGTGTGTGATGCCATTCTGTGCTTGTCTCTGTTATCCATTCCCAAACTCTGGCATTAGTCTAGAAGTTTGGACAGAGGTCCAGGTTCCATCTAGGAAGATGAGATTTCACCAGAAAGGTGAAATAACGTGAATAACCATGGGATTTCTCTCCCCCACCCCTTGTCACCTTTCATTACAGTCTGGCTACTTCTGGCTGCACCCATTCGTCCTCCCTACCTTCTAGTTATCATAGAACCCACCACCTTGCACTTCCTGAGTAGACCCCAGGCCTGGTGTGGCCTCCAGCTCAGACTAGCCCCCATGGATCCCCTCCAGAAATGGGAGTCAGCATTGATTTCTGGGTCTTCTCAAGTGACCATTGTGGAGACCTCCCAGGAAGGCTCTGCATCCTCTCACCTCATCTCCTTAGAACAGCTGAGGTTGGACGTCAGCGGCCTGAGCACCAATCCTGGCTCCGGCGCCCCTACACCTTTGGCAGAGGGGCTGCTCCAGAGGCAGTGCACGGAGCAGAATAACTTCCTGGAGCAGCGCTGTGGACGCCTGGGTTTCCCTCAGAAGAAGAAAGCATTCCTGGGGCAGTTGAGACGCAGGCACCGAGATCACAGGGCACCTTACCCAGTGGAAAAGGACAGCAGAATCTTCCGCTCAGGCAACAGAGCTCAGAATTGGTTCCGATGTGAATGTCTGTATTGCCAGGCCCGTGGGCAAAATATTATTGGGGAAAGGGATGGGGCCTCCAATCCTTCCTCCTGGGATACACTAGTGCAGGGACTTGGTGGCCTTACCCTCAGCCTGGGAGCTGAGAGAAGCAGCCTCCTGCCAGAGGGGGCGCAGCAGCAGCAGCCTCAGCAGCCTCAGCGGCAGCGGCAGCAGAGCCAGCGGCAGCCAGAAGAGAAGTGCCAGCGGGAAAGCAAGAGGAGGTTCCACAAGCTGTTCAAGCAGTGGTTGGAAGAAAACTGAGGAGGTGCTCATCTTCAGGAGACACAGAGACCCCGATGATCCACACAGTGCTTCGTTGTCAGCTTCTGCGTGTAGGCTCCTTTGTGGGACAAAATACTCAGCTGTCCATTGCGGGATACCCCAGGCCTGGGCGTTTTCACCAACATCTTCCAGGCATGAGATGTGACCCATTCCCAGGAGGACCTCCGCTTTCCTGCCTGTTATTTGTGGAGTACTGTGAAGCGTTCTAGTGTAAAGGAGGCTACACACCCCTGGTCCTCAGCCCATCTCCTATGCTCCCGTGATGCATGTTGACACTTTCCCTGCCTGGATCTCTGTCTTTCTACCTACTTCCTTATTAGTACAGTGAGAGTGTCTGTGGCCTTGTGGATGTCCACGTGCTTTTGTGCCCTTTGATCCAGGTCCAAGAATCTGCAACTGTAGAGTGTGAGGAGAAAGATGGAGTCAGACCATGGTGGTTCACCATTTTACCTTCTGTATAAACAAGATATTCAACTATGCTAGGCTAACTGGAAGTTCACGTGTACCTGCTCCGTAACAGTAGACTAATATCCTCCCACACGGGAATTTCTGATGGAGTACCTCATTGTCAATGCCAAATAATAAACATACTTATGAAAGAAGAGTGACCTTAGAATGCAGGGTGGTGGTATTTTGTTTCTTGTCAGAGCTGGAAAATCCCTGACTGGTAGGCTAGACTCTAAGAGGAGGAGCTCAGCCCCATGGAGATTTGGGAAGCAGGGTGGAGTGGGATTGGACTGGGGTGGAGTGGGAGGGCATGGTGGTTTAAAAGAGAATGTCCCCCATTGGCTCATATATTCAAACTCTTGGTCCCCAGTTGGAAATGTTTGGAAGGATTAGGGGGTGTGGCCTTGTTGGAGGAGGTGTGTCACTGGGAGTGAGTCTTGAGGTTTCAATAGCCCAGTCCATTCCCAGTTATCTCCCCTCTGCCTGCTTCCTGTGGATCAGAGGTAAGCTCTCAGCAACCGACTCAACGCCATGCTACCTGCCTGCTGCCATGCTCCCTGCCATGTTGGGCAGGGACTCTAACCCTCTGAAAATGTGAGCCTCAAATTAAATGTTTTCATTTCTAAGTTGCCTTGGTTGTGGTGTTTTGTCATGGCCACAGAGAAGCTACTGAGACGGCGCAATGAGAACACAGTCCAGTCACTCTTGGAGCACTGAATTCCGTGGGACTGTCATCCAAAACAGTCAGGCTGTGAGGTTGGAAGAGTATCCTCTTGCCCACAGGAGAGTCCCGAGCAATCAATGGGGCATGGCTGGAGCTCGGTGGGTTGACATTGATGTGCTGGCAGAGGGAGCCAGTGGCCATTCCTCATAGACTTGTATGTCAGGCTAGTGAACAAGAACAGTGTGTGTGCCAGCTTCATGAGAACCAGAGCACTGCTGAATTATTTCAAAGTTGTGTCGGTATTTAGACACATACTTTTCATTTCAAGCGGCCTAAAAGTTTAAATCTGCACTGCCCCGTAAGGTATCCTGTGAAGTATACTCGGCCAGAGACCGCGTACTGGGAGCTGAAAGCAAACGATGCTTTGTGTCAGGCTGCCTTTTCAGGAGAGAACCCAGAGCTGCCTTCCTCCAAAAATCTCCATGTCTCCTGGCAACAGAAGCAGCCTGAGAACAGATGAGTTTCTCAACTTCCAAGCTTGCTGGTATCTCATCCAGGGTCAAGAGTTAAGCTGAGCATGGCAGAATTGTCTTCCAACTCCTTGGGAGAGTTAATATAAACGAGAGTTAATATAAATTTTGTTGAAGTTCATAGGCCTGAATTCAGAATGGTGATTCAGGGTGTGTTTAGAACACGGCAGTGTACACTGTCAGTTTGGTTAGTAGGTGTCAGAGAGTATCCTGTGTATTCTTCTATACTCCCTCCCTCTTTTCAGCCTCTCTCTTAGCCCCATCATTTTAACAAGTGTCTGGCTTCAACAGCAGTGATGGTGTCTTCTTGGGGACCTGGGCCTCACACAGAGAGCAAGAGACACAGCTGGCATACATCCTGTGCAGTCTGCATTCTAGCTGGCTCTCTTACTCAGTTTCCCCTCTGTCATGGCTTGAGTGAAGTGTAGAGACCTCTGTCCACCTCATGCCTCAAAGGGCCAAGTCTCAGGGAGATGCACTATTGGATCCTCACCACTTTACATGGGGCAGGCGTAAGTACTAAGTGCTCGAGTTTCGTGGAACGTTTGTGGAGGTGGAAAACGGTATCCAGAGACACAGCCTTTGTCTGACTCCCACCCTGAACACTGTACCCTGCAGGCTCTCTATGTCTGTCAGTGGTCACACCAGGCTCCTTGAGCTACTCACAGTCACTGAACTGACTGCCAGTGGTTTTGTTTGCTCAGTTTACCCCTTTGCTATTCTTTGCTGTGCTGGCTGCCCTGGTGAAGAAAGGAGAGGGAACTGTGGAGGGATTCCTTGCCCTTACTTGGTGATCATTTCATCATGGAGAAAGATCTGACATAGGTCTTAGTCCATATTGTACTGCTGTAACAAAATGGCCTGGGCTGGATAAATAATAAGAGCAGACAGTTACTTTGTAACTAGACAGGTTTTCATGCAGTCTTTCACTACAAAAGCCAACCAGCAGAGACAGGAATTGAGTCTTGGAAGTTCTGCTCTTCTTAGGAGAGTTGAGAAGGCGGCAGATCAACTTTCCCAAAACAGCAACGTAAGATCGCACACTGCCTCACATCTCATCTCATTATGGAGGGCAGGGGGACTGACAAGATCTGGCAATCCTTCTGGAGCTCTGTCTTGCCCCTTTGAGGCCCCTCTGATCAGCCACATTTCTGAGGCTAATATTCTCCCAATACTATCATTCTCACTCTGGCCTCCTTCTCTGGATGTCTGGTTTCAGGCATGTTTTGAAATGCTGAGTGTATTTAGTTACTGCTGGAATCAACCTTGTACTCATCCAGTGGCATCAGGGCTGGGGCGGTGGTAGGGTTAACTCAGAACAAACAAACCATTAATCATGTATACATATCAAGCTGTTAACTTAGCTTATTAACTTATACATATTAAACTTTTAAGCAGAAGCATGCAGATTCCTGTCTATGATATGGAGTACAAACGCTTCTGTATATTGCAGAAACCAAAGGTGTCCCTATCCATCCCTCCTGACTCCTGTCAACGTCTCACAGTTCTGGAGTCCAGGAAGACCAACATCGAGTCGCTGTCTTCTCACACATACTGAGGAACTTATTGACAGGTCCTCAAATGGAGAATGCAGGAAGGCAAGTGGAGAAGAATTGCTTCCTCACCTGAGCCCTGAGGCAAATGCACTCACAAACTTCTTTAGTTTTGTTTTGCTTTGCTTCTCTTGGTGTATGTGGTCCTAGTGCTTGGTCCTGGATGTTTTTCTTGATAACTTTATTCACTGAGTCCTGTTCTCTCACTGAACACAGAGCTGGCCAGGCCTGCTCTCAGGGATTTCCTGTCTCTGCCTCCAGAGTGCAGGGATTACAAGAGGTCTACCACAGCCACCTGGTTTTTATGTGGATGCTGGATCTTAACTGTGCTCATCATACTTGCATGGCAAGACTTTATCCACTCATCCCATTTTGTATCACACCCAGACTTTTTATGGTCCTATTGATCCATTCACTGTGACAGAGCCCTCATAACCTAAGGCCTCCTCCAGTTAACTCTCTCCTTTCCACACTAGTACATTGTGTTTATTCAATGTGAGGATCTTCTTTGTTATGTTTTTGAGAAAGGTTCTCTCTTATGTAGCTCAGGCTGTCCTGGGACTCCCTATGTAGAGTAGGCTTAGTGTGGTGGGGTCTTGCCCAGAGGCCTCTACTGCTTTTATTCCATGTAGCATCAGGCTTTTCTTTAAACTTTTTAATCTTCTTAAGCACTGGACTCAACTCTTTTACAGGTCTTGGTGCTCCTTTTTCCCTCCAACTGAACATTTTGTATTTCTCCTTGTCTAACCTGCTTCTTCTTATTATACACCTGTAACATAAGTGACCATTAATTACTACACAACACAGACAATACTAGGTTGTCTTGAGATCTCATCTTCCAATGCTATGAATCCCAAACTCTTCATGTTAGCTTCAAGCAGATGTTTTGGTCAGGGACAAAAAGCAGCCCCTTTGATGGTCAAACTATCACAAGAACTGTCTCTAGGCAATTCACTAATATTCTTCTCCTTTGAAACGTTTGGATGTGGGCTTTCCAAATCACCAATGCTCTCAGGATCACTGTCTTCCACAACTCTAGTCCAATAATCCCTGATTAAAGTGGTCAACTGCTTTCTTGATTCAAAGTCCCAAAGTCCACATTTCACCAACAAGAAACATGGTCAGACCTGCCACAGCAGTATCCCACTCCCTAGTGCCTTCTTCGGTCTTAGTCACTGCTCTGTTGCTGTGGAGAGAGACCAGGACCATGGCAACTCTTATGATAGCAAGCATGGAATTGGGGCTTGCTTACCCTTTCAGAGGTTTAGTCCACTGACATCATGCTGGGGAGCAGGGGGACAGACATGGTGCTGGAAAAGTAGCTGAAAGTTCTACATCGGGATCTACAGGCAGCAGGAAGAGAGAGAGCCACTGGGCCTGGCTTGAGCATTTGAAATCTCAAAGCCCACACCCAGTGACATGCTTCTTCCTAGGAAACAACAACTACTCCAATAAGAAAACATCTCCTAATCCTTCTAAGAATACCACTCCCTGATGACTAAGCATTCAAATATAGTCCCACTGTGTGTGATTTTGTGTGTGTGTGTGTGTGTGTGTGTGTGTGTGTGTGTGTGTGTGTGTGTGTGTTGTCATTCTTATTTAAACCACTACATACATCCTGATTGGAACAGGCTGGCCAGGACTTCCTTTGTTGAATTCCTTCAATTCAGCACTTGGTGGCATGAAGAGACTGTTCATCAGACAGCACAGAATCAAATGCTGATGCTCCTGTGGTGATCACCATTGAACAGCTTATGCGCTGAGGACAATGGATAGGGCTTGAGAAGCAAATGCGTTATGATGCTCAGGCAAGAAGTTAAATGAGACTTTGCTGTATCAAAGACTGTGCAAATGTTTCAACTCCTGAAAATGCCACTGAAAATCTCAAAAACCAGACAAGGGGCAAATGACCCTAGACTTCAGAAGTAGGATAGATACCAATCTGAAAAAGACTCTGTATTCTCAGAGAGGTGTTATTTAAAATGTTAGCCTTTGACAATGATAATGTAGAATGTTGCAAGATTTACATGACATGGAGGCAGTATAACAACACATGGGAGCCTTCAACCTGGACTTGCTTTTTCCTACTATGATTCCAAAAGGTTGCCAATTGATAACTGTAGATCTAAAAGATGGTTTTTCCACCATCCCCTTAACTTCACAAGACTGTGAAAGACTTGCCTTTGCCATAGCAATATTAATATGATATCCCTTGCCAAAAGGTATCAATAAAAAGTGCTATGTCAAGGCATGTTGAACAGCCCAAACATATGTTAGTCACATGTGGGTTCTCCTTTGGCTCCTGTGGGAAAAAAATATTCCCTCAGATGTATATTACCCATGATATAGATGATGTTTTGATTGCTGTTCCTGAGGCACAACTTTAGTGGACCTCAGGCAATAGAGGACTTTATTTTCTCAACAAAACTGTACTTGATCTAGCAATTGGTAACTGGTGAATTAGGGTCTGCCTGTAACAGAAATTGTTAATTGGAATCCACAATATCAATGAAGGGCAGCATTTCATGACAATTTCATTTCAGTCTCCGTTTGATATTCTTCAGCACATCTGCTCGTAGAGGCAGGTAGGATGCCAGTCAATGGGGTTGCCTAGAGTTACGTCTCACATTGTGTGTCCATAGACCACTGCTTGAGCAACCTGGTGTCTGAAACGGCTAAAAAATCCTATGATTATCCTGGAGTAAAGCCACAGGCTGTTTCACTGATCTGAATATTCTTGTGTGAAGAGGAGTTATGTTCAACCACATAAAAGTTCAGATAGAAATGCACCGTAGCAGATCCACGTGGATAACTAAGACAAAAACGAATAAATGATAGGTTGACTGTCATGTTCAACCCCATGTCCAAGCTAGTTGGTTCATG